GTCTCATGGCTAATTTTGCCATTTCGGCAGAGTCCAGCAGTTTAGCTCACCATTCTTCCCTAGTTCGGATTATTGCATCTTCCCATCTTTGAGATAATAACATCTGTGCAGCTGTTGTCGCATACATAGTCTTTCCTGGTCTTTTGGGATCTCAGTACAGTGGTGCCTCGCAAGACGAAATTAATTCGTTCCGCAAGTCTCTTCGTCTTGCAGTTTTTTCGTCTTGCGATGCACGGTTTCCCATAGGAATGCATTGAAAATCAATTAATGCGTTCCTAGGGAAACCGCCTTCAGACCAGGTCAGGGGACAGTCTGTCCCCGGACCTCTTCTGAAGGCTGGGGGGGGGACAAGGGCTTTTCTTCCCACCCCCAGCATTTTAAAAAACCCTGGGACAGCGGAGGACTTCTCCGCTGTCCGGGCGATCTTAAAATGCTGGCGGGCGGCATTTTAAAATCGCCCCGGGAGAGCAGAGGACTTCTCCGCTGTCCGGGGCGATTTAAAAGCCCCTGGGAAGGCAGGCAGGGGGGACAAAGACTTTCGCCCCCCGCCCGCCTTCAGAAGGTGTTCCCGCCCCCCGCCCGGCTTCGCAGCAGCGCTACGAAGCCCGGCGGCTGGGGCAGGTGTTCCCGCCCCCCCACCCCGCTTCGGAGCAGCGTTCCGAAGCGGGGTGGCTGGGGCAGCTGTTCTCGCCCCCCGCCCGGCTTCGCAGCAGCACTACGAAGCCCGGCGGCTGGGGCAGGTGTTCCCGCCCCCCCCCACCTCGCTTCGGAGCAGCGTTCCGAAGCGGGGTGGCTGGGGCAGGTGTTCTCGCCCCCCGCCCAGCTTCGGAACAGCGTTCCGAAGTGGGGCGGCTGGGGCAGGTGTTCCCGCCCCCCCCCACCCTGCTTCGGAGCAGCGTTCCGAAGCGGGGTGGCTGGGGCAGGTGTTCCCGCCCCCCCCTTCGGAACAGCGTTCCGAAGTGGGGCGGCTGGGGCAGGTGTTCCCGCCCCCCGCCCCCCTTCGGAACAGCGTTTTAAAATGCTGGGGGTCGGGAGCGAAGCGTTTGCTGCCAACCCCCAGCATTTTAAAATCTCCCCGTGTCCCGGGGAGATTTTAAAATGCTGGGGGACCCCCAGCATTTTAAAATCTCCCCGGGACAGGGGGAGATTTTAAAATGCTGGGGGTCGGCAGCGAACGCTCCCGACCCCCAGCATTTTAAGATCTCCCCGGGACAGGGGGAGATTTTAAAATGCTGGGGGTCGGCAGCGAACGCTCCCGACCCCCAGCATTTTAAAATCTCCCCGGGACACGGGGAGATTTTAAAATGCTGGGGGTCGGCAGCGAACGCTTCGCTCCCGACCCCCAGCATTTTAAGATCTCCCCGGGAGGACAGATGAGATGACGATTTGTGGGAGGACAGATGAGATGACGATTTGTGCATTTAATTGCTTCAATTTCCTGACCAGAGCCTCGTAGTCTCTTTTGATCTTCTGGAGGCTATTGCTTGCAGTGTCATTGGTTCCCACATGAACCAAGAGGAAGGGGTATTTGTCAGTGGGTTTTATGATTCCTTGCAGTCGTTCAGTTACATCTTGGATCTTAGCCCCGGGGAGACAGCACACCTCCCGAGACATCTTGTCAGGCCCACAGATCACTGCTTCTGTTCCCCTCAGAAGGGAATCCCCTATCACCACTACACGCCTCCTCTTAGGTTTGGTCGGGGTTCTTCTGTGAGCTGTCCATTCCAAGGTTGCCTGCACATTCCCTGAGGACTGACTTTGCTGCTCGTCTTCATATACCTGATTGACTGTAATGAGGGAGAGATCCTCAAATGGAGTCTGTTCTTCGTCTTCCATGCTAGGGGAGAGGACTTCAAAGCGATTGTGTATTTCTAAACAATCAGAGCGAACCCTGGGCCTCCTACTTCTTTGAGTCACGTTTCTCCATATATCTGGCACCTGTGTTGGTGAACTAGCCTCCTTCTCAGGGGTGTCCCCTGTCTCCTCCTTGGTGGAGACGGTGTTCTCTGTTGCTTCCAAGAAGAGCTCCAGCTCTCTAATTCTTTGGAGCGTAGCTACACGTTCCTCCAGGTGCTGGACTTTGTCTTCTAAGAGGGCAATCAACATACAATTGCTGCAGGTAAAGCTGCCTGCAACCTTTGGCAAGATGGCAAACATTGCGCAGGAACTTCTTTTTCTATTACACATTGTTATCCATCTTATTTAGTATTTCAGTGTTTGAAACTGAACTTGTTTATTCCAATAGGAGTTCTGATTTTTCGATATGGTTTTGCAAGTATCTTTTAAACACCTTCCAGTCCCTATCTATCTACTCTTTTGAGATCCTTCCAATTTCTCCCATTGTTTTGGATATATTGTAGGACTCCAATAATTTGGCAAGCCACTCTATTTTTGTCAGTACAATACCACTTTTCCAGTTTTTCGCACTCAATAGCCTTGCGGCTACTGTTGCGTATAAATATAAGGTCTTGTCTTCTTCCTTTAGGCTTCCTGGTACTATTCCCAATAGAAAATCTTCTGGTGTTTTCCTAAATGAATATCTAAACATTTTTTTTCATTTCAGTATATATTATTTCCCAAAATTGTTTGATGTTTAAACAATTCCACTATTGTCAGGGAACTGCCATCGGAGGAACAGGTGGTGAAAGGGCTCACGGAGGCTGGGAGAGACTCGGCAGCGGAGGCAGGCACCAGCAGGGGGAGAGATGGGTCGCTGGTGGAAGGGCTCACGGAGGCTGGGAGAGAGTCAGCAGCTGAAGCAGGAACCAGCAGAGGGAGAGGTGGATCTCTGAGGGAAAGTGAGCAAGAGGGAGGGCTCAGGGACACGTCCAGCGAGAACAGTGGGGAG